AAAACGGCAGCCCACAGTTCCTCCCACGCCTGTGCATGCACACTACTCCAGAGGTGGAGTAGTGTGGGGTCTATTTCCTGCCCCTTCAATCCAGAGGTGGGGTCTATTTCCTGCCCCTTCAATCTGGCTGGACTTGTGACTTGCTTTGACCAACAGAATGTAGCTGAAGTGACACTTCGTCTATTCTAGGCCTAGGATTTCAGAGATCTTGCAGCTTCTGTGTTTGCCCTCTTGAGTTTGGCCTAGACTACTAAATGATGAGAGATCTCATGGAGAGAGAGGGCATGTGGAGGAGGGCCAAGGTGTCCTAGCCAACAGCTAGTACCAAGGTCCCAGACATGTGGAGTAAGGTCATCTTGGATCCACCAGTTGCAGTAAAACCACTGCAGCTTGGAACACACATGAGCCCTCCCCAGATTTCTGGTCCACAGATGTGTGAGCAAAACAAGTCATTGCTGTTTTACGTCACTAGGTTTGTAGATGATCTGTTATGAAGCAACAGATAACTGAAACAGACAACTGAAACAGACATCTTACGGTTCTCTCTCTCTCTCTCTCTCTCTCTCTCTCTCTCTCTCTCTCTCTGAGTGGCTCCAAAGGCTACATGCCTGGGTTTCTATACCCTCCTTCTGTGCTGTCTTCTACTTATTCCTGGGTCCCTCCCAATTTTATTCCAAGGCACAAAGTACACATCTCATGTAAAATGTTCTTAACAACACGAGAGAGAGTATTATACCACTAACTGTGGGAGACATACAGTTAAGACCTGTATCAGGGCTTGTTCAAGAAAGGGGGCATTTGCTATCAAATGCTTGTTGGGGGACAGGATGAAATGATGCTGTTGGAAAGCATTTCTTCAAGTGAGGTTTCAGGATTTTGTCCAACTTCCGACAATAAAGTTAGAGAAGTAGTCACTTACGACATTTGTGTGTGCATTTATATCTCTAGAAAATTACAGCCAAGCCTAAGGGAACGCTCATTAAATACTGTTAACTAAGATCTTCATATTGTGGATTTTAAAGGAAGATAACAATATTCACCTGAGGACAAAAACATGCTCTGTTGATGGATAATGTTAAATTCCCTTGGCAGGAAATTCCTCCAAAGCATTGTCTCCAGAAAGCCAGGGGCTCTCTGGGCGTGGCCATGTATGCTTTGGGTTCCTGTGAGGTGAACATCACAGGTTTCCAAAGGAGGCTAAGGCAGCATCTGCTGACTTTATGCCAGATCAGGCCCGAAACGACATTTGAAAAGGAGTCAAACTGCCTTATTCTAAGTTGTTTTTACCAGAAAGGCAAACCTGATGAATCTTAACGACTTTCTTCCCAGAATCATGTACGTACACAGGTCTTGCATATAACATTGGCCCATCATGGATCCCAGGTTAAAAACCCCTATCGTGGTGGTACACTAGCTCCCTCAGGACTGGAGACATACACTCTGCTGCAGCCTTCATCCTAGGAATGTTTCCACTGACACTCCTGCACTGGCTTCCACAGGAACATAAATCTCGCTGTGAATCATCCCACTCTCTCGCAGAGACTAATGAAGAAGAACATATAATGAAGCACTATAATACTCTTTTAATATGTACCTCACCAGATACACAGCATAGAGGAACATAATTTATAATCCACCAAATCAGATGAGTATTTTCACCAGTTCCTGCCCATATACTTGCAGGCCTGGCCATGCATTTCATATTTCATTTCTATTTCTATATTTTGTGCTCAAGGCGGGATGGCTGCTTGTTTACACAAGTTTTAATATTGTTATTAGCAGTATCCGGTCTTTTTTCTATCACACTACTTTTGAATGTTTTCTGGCTTTAAAGGCCCAAGGACACCAAAAAACTGTTAAGGTTCAAAAATCATTAGATGTTGCCTGCTATAAGCTCGTATATGCCCCTTAGGGACATGAAACATAATCAAACTCCTTAGAAATCTGTCTCAACATTTAATATTATTTTATTTAACAAAAGATTAAGTTTAAAAATGATCATTTTGAGAAAGGGGCATATGTGACACTCAGAGATGGACTTATGCTCTATTTTCAGAGAATTCTGTTGAGACTGCTAAAAACAATGGATTACAGTTATTGACACTTACTTCTGGCTGGATTCTTGGCTACGTCTTTTACGTAAATCACCTTATCTAATCCTCACAACAAAACAGAATAAGGGAGGTGGCTCACTAGCTAGCTGGTCATCAAACTTGCTTCCCTTTGCTCTGCACAGTTGGGTGCTTTCCCAGCCTCCCTTGCAGTTGGATGGGGTCACATGACTGAGTTCTGCCAATGGAACGGCGGTGAAAATAAGGAAAGCATCTTCTAGGCTTGGCCCATATAATCTTACTCAGTCCTCCTTGCTCTCTCATTTCCCCCCCCAACTGGTCGATTGTAGAGACCTGCAGAGCAGAAGGCAGAGCTACAAGATGGAAGGAACCTGGGTTGCTGAATCACGGTGCAGTACCCCACCCTCAGAATACCCACAGTAAACTGGTATGTGAGCAAGAGATAAACTTCTATTGTCCTGAGTCACTGACATTTTGGGGTTATTTGTCACAGCAGTTACACTCTACTGAAAGTACTTTTATGAGCATAGAGAGGCTGAGTAATCTGCTCATGGTCACACAGCTATTAAGAGGTAACAGATTTAAATCCGAGTGTTTTGTTTTTAGAAAACATGTTATTAACTGCTATTTGATTATATTCCCTTTTTCCAAGTTAATTTTCATCATACGTAACATAATCTTCTTTTATACCTGATTTACTATATTTGTGGGAAGTGGTTGGACAGAGTCCAAAGTTTGAGAGAAAGAGAAGATAATTTCTTCAAATAAATTATCTGATTTCATATCTCTTTATTAACCATGTCAGAAAAAGGCTATGTTGTTTACACAATTTTGCAGGAGATCTCCGTTACTCTGTGAAAGTTTATATTCAGAGATTCTTTAGTAATTACTAATGCTCTATAACAAATTATCCCCCAAACTTAGTGGTTTAAAGCATTTAATATTTCTACCACTTTCTGTGAGTCAGGAGAAGGTTAGCTCAGCGGTCTCTTATGCGGTTGCACTCAAGGTGTCGGTTGGGGCTATATCATCTGAAGGCGTGACCATTCACTTCCAAAGTGGCTGACTCACACATAGCTGGCAACTTGGTCTGGTTGTTGGTAGGCAGCCTCACTTTCTCTCCACTGGGCTGTGTGACCACCATCACAACATGGTGGCTTGCTTGCCCCGGAGTGAACAAGTCCAGAAACCAAGGCAAATGCGACAAGGTCTTAGGACTGCTCAGCAAAGTCACAGACCATTATTTTTGCAATTTCCTATTGATCAATTCCTACTGATCACATTGGGATCAGTGCTGATCGCTTATTCACAGTTGGAAGAGGATACACAAGGGAGCGACTACTAGGAGACAGGGGTTACCAGGAGCCACTTTGGAGCTTAGCTACCACAGAAACCCACCCATTCATCCAACACATACACTGAGCACATACTGAGGAACTGGGGACAAAGCACAGAAGAAAACAGACTAAAGTCCCTGCTTTCATGATACACACATTCTACAAGAGGTCAGAAAGGCAATAGGTGTAATCAATAAGTAAATTATATAGTATGCCAGAAAGTGGTAAGGAGAGAGACGGCATGATCAAGGGGAGGGGGAATGCCGGGGTTGAGACTGTTAGCAATTTAAAATAGATGTCGGTGGGCCTCACTTAGGCTTGAAGGAGGTGAAGAAGTATGCCAGGAGGAAGAGCGTTCCAGGCACTGCAAACGGTAACTGCAAAGCCCTTGAGGTGGGAGTGTGTGCCGTGGGCAAGGACCAGCAAGGCAGTCGAGGTGGCCGTAGGAGGGAACTCAGGGAGAGGGCTGTAGGAGGTGAGACGAGGCAAGTAACAGAGGGGAGAGCAGAGACCCTGTAGGACATTCAAGGCTCCTGGGAGAGCTCTGACTTTCACTCTGTGAAATGCGAAGCCACTGGACGGTTCTTAGCAGACAACTGATACTATTTGATCTAACACTAAAAAAATCTGATTCTGGTGGCTGACATCGGAATAGACAGGCCAAGCGTGGGAACAGGGAAACAAAAATTAGGAGGCTCCTGTAAAAATCCAGACGAGAGCTGATGATGGCTTATTTTGGAGTGTCATCAGTGCAGGTGGTTAGCGGTCAGATGCTAGATGTATTTGGCAGGTGACCTAGTGCAATTCATTCACCTTTCTAGGTAAAGGTTTTATTTAGGAGAAACAGCATTTTTATTATATCCCAGCACCCTGGGCTGTCAAATGGTGCCCTGCAGTTTCTGAGAAGCTTCAGAGAGATGTGCTACCAGGAACTGAGGTGGGACAGATGGGTGGAGTTTCATGTCCCTCTACCCCAGTTTTTAAGGGCAGCTGTGTTGACATACTTCATTATGTGGGGTGAGGGCAACCTTCTTAAGACAGACCAGAAACTCCAATGCCCTAAAGGAAAAGACAGACACGCCCCCCCGCCCACACACGGTATGAAACAATACACCATTTATAAAACTATAAAGAAACTATAGGTTAGGAAAAATATTTGAAACACATGAAAATAGTTTACTATTCTAATGTTTTAAAAAAACTCAAAAATTCATAAGAAGACAACCAAGTGAAAAAAAAAACAAATGGGTAAAGGGCATTTTCAAAATGAGCCTCCTAGTAGTACCTCCTTCACTGCATTGTTATGAGGTTAAAAGGACAGCATATGTAAAGTGCTTAGCACACAGTTCCTGTTTCAAAAGAAATGCCCAATATGTTGTCCGCCACTACCGTCACCACAACCGCCACCGTTGCCACTGCTGCAATCCCAAGATGACTATCACCGCCACCATACCACCACCAGCAACTTAGTCATCATCACTACAGTGTAAAAGCCACCACTGATGTGAACCTCAGTCAACCCTGTAGGCCAGTTTCAACTCAGCTCCCCCCCAAGTAAATTCTCCACTTGTGGTGACCAATGATATATTACCTTTTCATGATTTTCTATTAGGATCTCAATGACAATGTTCTGAAACTTGATATCCATGATGGCTGCTACCGTTTCTTCCTGAGGACGCAGCAGGGTGGGTCCGAACACCACGCCAAGGTTTGCCACCGTCATCAAATTCTGCTTGTGGTTGTTAGCAACGCTGGTAGGAAGGAAAAGAAATGGCACAAATGAGAGAAATAGTGTATGAGTGGACAGCTGACCTCCTGTACCCTTCCCATCTTCAGACGCCTCATCTGGTAGGAGCCAGATCTGGGGACATGTTCGGATGCTTCTGGAGTCCAAAGAGAGACTTTTCTGCTCCTATTTTCGTCTACCAAAGGTTCAGAAATCTCCAGTGTTTGGGCTGTTTTGCTATTTCAAGATACGACACTCCTTACAATTCCCATTTTGCCTAAAACAACCAACCAACCAACCAACCAACCAACCAACCAACCAACCAAAGCAGCTTGCCTTCCAAAATGTGAACCTTTGCACATCTGAATCCCTATTCTGCAAATCCAGGTAACTGCTAATCCCTCTTAGTTACAACTTTTAAACTTGGCTGCTGCTTAAACCGCTGTGATCATTAGCATTTTCTCTAGTGCAAATATTAAAAACTCCTGATGGCTTTAATACATTTGCAAATAAAGGCCCAAAATAGACCTAATTTTTTTAAATGGGTAGATCTCAGTCAGGAAATTCAGCACTTTAGGCTCAAAGTATTAAAGCCTCCATCATATTAGACACGTGGCTTACATTAAGCCAAACATTTCTGCATAAACAGAAATCAAAATGCACAACTGTACATCCATGTATATGGCTGTGTTTATATTGCCACTTACTCTCAAAGTCCAAGGAACACACAGGGTCAGGAGTATTGGGACTGAGTAAACTGCTAAACACATATGCATATTTTGGATAAACAACTACTCGAAACATATATCTGAACTCCACACCCAGGGCACCATGACCTAGCCATAAAATTTCATTGTTCATTTGCTGGCCCCATGTACAAAAATATACCAATTATCTATTGACAACAAATAAGTTAAAAGTTAAGGCCATTCAGTATTGTTAAGAAAATATTAGGGGCTTCCACCTAATATTTCCACCTGTTAGAAGAAGGAAACTATTCATTACTAGAAACTAGAGAGAAATTGGGCAGAGATGCCAGTTTGCACAGACATACCTCCCTAGCCCTTAGTGCTATTTATACTGAGTATTTGTTTTTCACACAATTCTATAAATGTTTGCACTGTTTCTCTTGGATACTTCTATTTTGTAGGAGGAAAAAGAGGTTCTACTGCTTTAACTGCTGGTTTTGAAACTGAGCCTTTACTGAAGACTACATTAACCAATTTTATCAGCAGATGTGTATTTTTCTTTCATTTTCTAGGGCTAAACGTCTAATTTCATAAAAAGCTCCTCCTCTGAAAGGGATGGTTAAGTCTATGAAACGTGAACTGTGAAACAGCCCAGTCAGGAAGGGAACTTGCTTTCTGATTGCTAAACAATACCTGCAGCAAGGAGATGTTTCCACTGATGCCTTGGCCTGTTTCTGGTCCAAGTAATAATATTTTACAAACATTTTCTGAGTTCTAGCTGAATCTCCTGATGTTACTTATAGTTTTCCATTCTACCCAAAACTGTATCAGGTTTCTAGTCTGAAAGCGTTAAAGCAGGGGGAAAGGCTGGCAAAGGGGAAAGGCTTTGGTTCTGGGCCTCAGTCAATCAGTAAGTCTGCATGTTTACAAGCTGCTTGTAACACCACTACTTTCAACATCAGTTCCTTTGTGCAGGAAGTGAATTCCATGCCTTTATACTTCCCCTCCCAAATAAGCCAAGTCAGTAGACTTACCCTCTTGTCACAAAAGTCCCTGTGTAAATGAATCAACAAGCTATTTATGTATGAAAGCACTTTTAAATTGTAGACCAATATAAAAATATAGGGTTTGGATGATGATCACTTTCTCCATCACGCTTCTCAACACAATCTGACTAAAGCAACAGCCTCTTAACGAGGCTCTCTGACTAGACTCTCTGGGTTTGGCGGCACCCTGCCTGCCACCACCAGCTACCGTCTACAACTTAGCTCCACTCAAGGCAGGCCTCTGTTGAAAACTACAATGGCCTCACACCTCACTGGGTCACTGAGAGAGAACACAGTGACACAGTGTATGTGCAAGCGTTCAGCGACGCTTGCACAGCTGGAATGTTCTGATAATGGTGACCATAAACCACTGGTGGGCTCCACTGTTTTTAATGTCAAACTCCTATGACATAGCACAGCTTTTCCAACTCACCTCTAAGCCCTCTGTCACCTCCCAGCTCTGGGTCCCTGAGCAAGGGACTCAGTGTTTAAGCTTTGGGTTCCTCATCTTTTAAAAAAGGGGATGAGGGCTTCCTTAGTGGTGCAGTGGTTAAGAATCCACCTGCCAATGCAGGGGACACGGGTTCGAGCCCTGGTGCGGGAAGATCCCACATGCCGTGGAGCAACTAAGCCCGTGCGCCACGGCTACTGAAGCCCGCGCGCCTAGAGCCTGTGCTCCGCAAGGAGAGAAGCCACTGCAATGAGAAGCCTGTGCACCGTAACCAAGAGTAGCCCCCGCTCGCCACAACTAGAGGAAGCCCGCGTGCAGCAAAGAAGACCCAACGGAGACAAAAATAAATTAATAAAATAAATTAAAAAAATTAAATTAAATTAAAAAGGCGGTGAGGTGAATAATACATCTACTTCGTGAGGTTGTTGTATCAGTTAAATGTGTTACCGTGTGGGAAATGCAGTGATGATTATTATATTCATTCACTACCCATCCTCTTTCCACTTTCACATCTACCTGCCTTTGTCAATCTTCTCCCTAGAACGTTCTCTTACCCTTCTTTCTTTGCTTGGCAAACTGTTGGTCTTCAAGGCACGGCGCCAATGGCTCCCTTCCCTTCTGAAGTCTTTGTCTAGTCTCTCCCCAGTCCTCCACCCCTCAATGAAGGCAGGAGTGTTGGCCCCTGGATTTATTACATGTTATTAAGGTCTCGACTACTGCCTTAGGGTAGAGACCGTGCTTATTTTAGTTGGTAGCACCAGTGCTGAGAGCAGTGCCCGGCCCAGGAGAAACACAACAAATGTTCAATGAGGTTTTAAAAGACGACCCGAGTTTCTGAGTAGACATTAAACAATAATTCTCAACCCAACTACTTACTCAGAAAACCTCAAATTATTATTGATGATTTTTGGGGAATGTATCTCAACTCTCCCAACCTCCCTTTTCAAAGTCTGGAACTGTGTTCCATTTCTTAGATTTAATTAATGAGCAATAATTACTCCGATTTACTGGCCCAAATGACCAAAGGCATTTGGAAAAAACCTATGGTAATTGTGGATAAGCATCTCTGAATATAAATACGCTTGAGGCTACCCGATGTAACTCATTTCCTTTTTAATGATCCATTTTATTTTAGAACTTAAAAAAACACATTGATCTAAGTCTTACGAAACTTTTGGGGAAAAGGCTGTACCTTTCATGACCAGCTACCATCATCTTTCGGCACACTGAGGTCACAAATTGATCTACCACTTGGTTGTTACTGCTCACAACTTGGTACAGCTATGCTCATTACTCCAGAATGAATTATTATCGGCTGGAGATTGCTACGTAACCCAGACAGAAAGGCACAGACCTCAGTCTCTGCTGGCACCGGCCATCCATTATAACTTGATGCCTTTACCCATGTGTGGGAGGAGGGCTGGCAGAGCACTGGGAAGCCTGGTCTAGCCAAGGCCACGGGGCTCATTCATTAGTGAGGTCTATAAAACACAGAGAACTTGCTTTCCGGGTTGGTAACTGAGCTGCCTGAGCTCTTCCCCACACAGCCCAGAATGTCGTGTTGAGTCTTGACTTAAAATCCACACACAAGAGTCTCTCATGCATTATTGCATATTCCACTGAGGGAGTCTTTGACAGGCCTTCCCTAGGTCCACGTGGACTCTTCTGTGGAGAATTCTAAGACAACTGCCAATTCTACAGGCTTCCTCTGCAGGCGGCAGAGAAACAGTTTCCACATGCGATTTTAAGGGAAAGCCCGGTTCCTTCTGTGACTGTTCAGAGTTTGCCACATCAGCTGAGAAGCAGGGCATCTCCTGAGGGGCATGCCTTCAGGGCAGTTGGTGGGGGATCGGCATCCCATGTTCCCTGTGGTTCCCTAATGAATTACGGTTAATGAGGAAAGAGCATGTTAAAAGGAAAATGGCCATTGCCACCTTTGCTTCAAGGGAAAGTGGATGGGGACTCTGGATTGGTCTGATACCCTCTGAGAGGCAGAAGGAGGTAAATCACTTCCAGATGAAGATGGTGGTGGGGGAGCACTATGAGGGGAGGAGAGTGGAGGCAACTCTTTTGGGGCCTGTAATGCAGAGATGTCCATGCTGTTCTGGGGATCACATCTGTCTTCCTAGCATTTAAATGAGAGTCAGAGCTCTGGAAGTGCTGAGCGGTACTTTATAACCACAGACTGGTCCTGATGTACCAACAATACCTAAGCCTGCTGCTAGGTCTGCAAATAGGTTTCATCTTGAGGCCTGCAGTGCTATGTCGAGGAGTGTTAAAGTTGCATCCTGGCTCCACTGGACACAATGTGGTGACAGATTAGCACTATCTGCGATGAACCAGATGGGTGGAGGTTACAGCACAGCAACACTTTTATCTGCCATCCTTTATTTGTTTGTTTCAGCTTCCAGTGTTAAGTAATGACAACTTAGACTTGCAAGGTGTTTTAGAGTTTACAGGAGCTCTGCAACACTTTTTAATGTTGTTTGAACTTCATGTAAGTCTAGAACAGTAGCTCTCAAACTTTCTGACAATAACCCATGGTAGGAAACATATTTTCCCATATAACACTTCACTAGTACATACATACATATATACACACACAGAGAGAGGTACACACACATACGTACTTGCATATCAGAAACACGAGTTACTAGAAGCACAAGTTTCAGAAACAGTAAGTGTGATAAATTCTGTTATTTTTTATTCTATTCTGGTCATTTTTCTGCTACTAAATCCATTTTACAATCCACTAATGTGTCATGACTTAAATTTGAAAAATGCCATTCTATAGGTATGGAGTACAAATATTATTTCCAATTTATAAATATGGGGGAAA